TCCTTTCTCTTCCGGGTATGCCGGAAGTGCTGATCCTGGGGCCTTTGCCTCGCCCCAGCAGCCCTGCAGCTCCCGAGGACTCTCTCAAGGCAAGTCCTGTGCTGCGCCGCTTTGGCTCGTTCCCTGCCCCGCTACTCTGGGCTGGACTGGGCTGGGCCGCATACCACCTGTGACGTGCCAATGTACCACAGGTGATACGCGTACCACCGGTTGAAAAGCCCTAATCTAAATCATTTATGAAGATATTGAAGAGTACTGGGTCTAAGACGCAACCTTGTGGTATCCCATTACTTACTTACTTCTGTATAGATATAGTACTATTAAGGACTACTCATTGAATATGGTTTGTCAGCCAGTTACAAATCCATCTGGTTGTGATGCTATCTATCCCACTTTTTTCTAGCTTACCAAGAAGTAGGTTGTGGTCTATTTTGTCAAATGCGTTGCTGAAATCTAAATATACTATGTCCACAGGATTTTACTGGTCTGCTAATTTAGTCACTTTGTAAAAAATGAAATAAGATTGGTTTGGCATGATCCGTTTTTAACAAACCCATACTGACTTCTAGTTATTACTTTATTTGTTTCTAGATGTTCGCACATCTTTTTTTTATTATCTTTTCCAGTATCTTCCCAGGTATTGATGTTAGGCTGATTGGTCTGTAGTTTCCTGGATGTTTTTTTCCCCTTTTTTGAAGATGGGAACCATATCTTTTCCAGTCCTCAGGTAGCCCCCTGGTGCTCCAGGATTTTTGAAAGATATGGTACAATGGTTCTGAGATGACATCTGCCAACTTCTTTAAAACTCTGGGATATAATCTGTTAGGTCCTGGTGATTTATATTCATCAAGATCAGACAGGTATTCTGTTATTATTGTTCCAATGTCAGCCAGCTGGCTTCCTGTTTAAAGAAGGCCTAAAACTTGCACTCTCCTGGCTTCTAGGCCAGTACCAGTATATCAAGCTGCCTCTCCGTTTGGATGGAATATTAATTCCATGTCTACAAGGCTACATCCCAGGAGCCATAAAACAGCATCCTAAAAAATATCAGTGACAGACCTTCTAGCTATATTTTCCTTCCCTCTACAAGACTCTTCAGTAGTCTTTGGACACTTTGTGGCATCCTTGATTCTCTCTGAGCTTGGTTGTTTGCTTGTAGACATTTCAACATCTGACCAGGTAAATTATCAGATTATGGATTTCTTAAACTCTTCTTGTAGTGCTTATAACTAAGATTTTAATAGCACAAACAATTTCTCATTTTACAAAGGCTATTTTTTTAATTTTAGTTGAACAAATATGTATTTATACTAATAACACATTCTGGTTTGGAAAAGACTAGAGGGAGCATTTTACTTCTTATTTACTTTCATGATTCAGGTATGATAACTGCACTTTTGCTTTTTCAGTGGTGTTATGCATGTTTAAACTATAAAGATCTCTATGTCCACTGAAAAGTTATGATTTATTTCTTATTCTTAATCCTAAAATTTGAGAAAGGTAGATTCTGGCTATTAAAAAACACCTTAGTAGTGAAAGCAAATTGACAATGCAGTCAGTTGGTAGACTTCCCTTTACTGGGTGTGTTCCAGCAGAGGCTGGACAGCCATCTGTTGGGGATACTTAGCTTGGACTCATGGTCAAAATGATCTCTTCCACATTCATTATATCATTATTCTTGTCCTGTATTGGAAGGACGGGAGGGAGGGAGGAAGGAAGGAAGGGTAATGTAAATTGTGAGAACATGGATAGGGAAGGAGCATTTAACATCATATTCTGATCCACTCTTTTGTATTAGCTTTTTGTATTTGAACTCTGCGATAGCAAGAAGGCTTGAATATACAGAACTTGCTTATCATACAAATTAAAATACATATAATTTTAGACAGGGTGGATTTGATTTAAATCAAGTCAATTAAAATCATGATTTAAATCATGATTTAAATCAGTGGTTCTTAACCTGGGCGGTACCGCCCCCCAGGGGGCGATTTCATTTTTCAGGGGGGCGATGGAACGAAAAGGGGCGGCGTGGGGGCGATGGAACGAAAAGGGGGCGATAGGGGGGCAATGGAGCGAGATGTTTTGGGGACACTTTTGAGCCTTCCCCTGCAGCTCCGAGCGTCCTCCGCCATTTGTAGAGAGAG